GGAAACATGCTGCTGGCTACGGGCACGCTAATAATCATCTGGGTAACATCTGAATCTCTTCTGGGTGGCCACCCAAATGCACAGCTTACAGTGAATACTTCCGGGCACTCTTGTGCCCTTGAAATAAGGGCCAAGCAGCTAGTCCTCTGTGCCTTCATTGTGGGAGTGGGGGTCTAAATGTGAAAGTCCCACTGAAATCAATGGAAGTTTGTTGCAGAGGGAGGTAACTGGTATTTTTCTAATCACTGTTAAGCCCATCTCCTAGTTCAACTATACAGCAAACACAGTCCTGAAGTTTTGCAGAGGGAGGTAGCTGGCATTTTTCTAATCACTGTTAAGCCCATCCCCTAGTTCAACTATACAGCAAACACAGTCCTGAAGTCCTTAATTAAAGCATCTAGTCCTGACGTCTTTAATTAATCAAAACTCCCACTGGCATCAAAGGGAATCTTACCTGAGTAAAGATGGCATAGGAGGCTCATATGGGATAGCTTCCATCCAGATAGAAAATAATAATTAAAAAATCCACATAGTTATTCTTTTGGAAAAAGTAGAACTAACATGGTACCATGACTGACTGTACAATTAAAGGGAAAAGTGAATCAGGAATTTAATATTGTTTCCAGATGTCAAGTGCGATAAAGAATTTTTTCCTCACTTGGAATGGTAACAAGAATTGTTCTTTTAGGGGGCCTTTCCACAGTGCTGAGTAAGGATAACCAGTTACTGGTTAACTAGTACCTGGGTACAGCCTTGTGGGGATTGGAAGCTGCCCCTCCTTCGCACTTGGGGCTGCCAGATTGCTGCTCCTGGCCCCCAATAGGGGGGCTGGGAGGGGCAGCCAACAGTCCCAAGTGCAAGAGGGTCGGCACCGGCAGCTATGCATGCATGGGGGTGGAGGCAGGAGCAGGAACCCGCTTAATTGGTTATCCAGTTTAACTGGTTAATTGATTAACCAGGATTTTACATCCCTAGTGCTGAGATGTGCTGCATGTACATAAATGTACGTATGCGTGTGTATGCATGTGTAAATAGGTGTGTTTAGGGCTATTGAAGCAATGTATATTGTACATATGCAACATTGTACGCGTTGATATGAATATACACAATTTGGGGTGGAACACATTTGTATGTGTGCATGAGCAGAGGCAGATTTAGTGGGCGTATGAAGGGGAGATCATTTTGTACCTACAGTGCTTTTCAGCTCAGGATCTTAAACCACTTGACAATAGCAGCTAGTTTTCCTAGCAACACATCTTCAGGATAGGTAAGAAATCCCTCTTCCTCGCCTCCCCCATGTACATTGAAATCTCCACCCTGCTGACGAGGGGACTCAATTAGCGAGGACCCTCTCTTGCCAACGTCCAGCTGCTAGCGTCCCAGGTTTAAATCTCAAGACTGTTAATCAAAGCCATCTAGACAGCTCTTTGCTGTCAGAAGGGGGTAGCAAAGAGGTGGTCACTCACTCAGCTAGGCAGGTGAAGATTTGTAAATTAAAACCAGCATTTTGAATTGTGTTGGGAAGCAAAAGGGAGGCCAGGGCAGCCTGCAGAGCCCAGGTTGCATGTGCCAGACATGGTCCGTTCTCCGCAGTTGTGGAAACCGTAGCTTGGTCTGCAAGCAGAGAGCATTATAGTCACCCAGATGGGAAATGAGACTAGCACAGGGATGTAGTGAATGCAGGTTTGAATGTTGCAGGGGAATAATGAATTTATCACCGAGGCCAGTAAAGAGAATCCATCCTGACTAGCAATGCAAGCAAATCTTAAGAACGACTGCAAATCCCACTTATAAGACCGCAAATGGCTCTCCATTATTCCTGAGACAGCTTAGACGCAACTCTGTGAAGGATCTTGTGAACGTGTTGCCTTGTCCTTATTTATTCGAACGGTTCAGGTCTTCGTTTTCCTCTCAAACTATGGTTTGGGGAACCGGATGACTCCAGGAATCGGGATGCGGAATGTTTTGCTTCTACATAACTGGTTAAAATCAAGCCCAGGCCAGCCCTAACCCCAAAGGGCCAGAACGTAGCAAAGCCACAACAATGTTTGGCACCAACTGGTGATCCTAGTGGAGCCATCACAACCTGAATGGGCATAGCAGCCAAATCTCACCCATGGAGGTGGTTTTACCAGATCAGGAATCAGAGAGGTTGGCCCAGGAGTAGCAGAGGTAACTTGTCTGTACTGTGGATAAATCTGAGAACTTAAATCTCCAGGGAAGCCAGGCCGGCACCTTTCACCAGCACTCAATGCACATAAAGAAAACAAAGCTTGCCATGTTTTACGATCTCGGGAGAACAAGTGGTATTGATGGATAGGCATTGAGAGCGGCACGGGCAAAAATGCCTATAAATGGTTAACAAGGTAATGGTAAGAAATGTTGACCTTGATTTGTTTAGCTAAGATGTAAAGATTTTTGAAGGTCAAAGGTGTCCTTGTGTAGTGTTTTGGAGTCTAACTGTGTCTGACCCTCTAACATTAAGCTGCTGTGGCCTGTAGTTTGAAGAGTGAAGCAAACCAGGGGGAAAGGGAGAAGGGGGAGAGAACAGGAAATGGAGTGAGGTGTTTCAGGAAGTTGTCAGGAGTTGACTGATTGATTCCAGATGGAAAGGGTCACCCTCCGTGACCCAGGAAATACTCACTGGGGGAAAGCAGTTGTTGGCTTGTGAAAAGGGAGGGCCTGGGAGCTAGAGACTATGGTGGAATGCATGTTCTGCTTCCTTTTATTCTTAAGACATTGAATTTTAATCTTCTGTATAAAACAATTTGATTGTCCTCACTCGGCAAAGGTGGGGGGTGAGTGGAGCTATATCTGGAGCTCTAGTAAACTTTACTACCATCATCTGAAACACTCTTACTCTATACTATAGATTAAAAAGTGAACCAGGAGAACCCTAGCACAGAAAACACAAGCTGTCTTTTACTGAATTGCAGTAATGCCAAGTGATGGGCCCAAACCAGAACCAAGCTCCCAAAGCCTCCAAAACACTGAGCGAGGTCAGATCCAGACCTCAGGCTCCATCCCGTAGGTCCATGCTATCCAACCTGCTGCATCATGTAGGTCCAACCACTATAGTGATAACAAACTATCCACACTGTTCTGAAAATGTAAATAGTTTTATGAGCCAACTAGCCACACCACAGCCATACGTTGGACACCACGGCTGTAGGTGGCAATCTCTTGGCCCTCTGGTGGTGAATCCAAGAGGTGATAAAAGAAAACCACACACGAGAGGGGTCTGACAGGAATATTCCTATACATTGGAGGGGGCTTAGCAAGATTGCAATTTCTATCTGGAAGTTAGCACTTGTGTTTCAGGGCATCACTAGAATATTATAAATGTAATGTAGAGCATGAATATTCTCTTTTTATGTATAGTTCCTTAGCCACACACGTGTGATGTGTATGATAAAATTTGTGTGTATTAGTATATTAATCTATATAATGTGTGTGTATTCTGTGTGGATATATAACATTGTCTTTGTGTGTGGGTATTTGTGTATTTTATACATACATATATATATATATGTGGGTGGGTGTATGTCTATATACATGTATGTGTATATATGGGGTATATTTTTGATTTACATTTGGTTACAATTTAAAATCTTGTCATAAATATTTCAGACACTGGAATGATTCAGGTCTATTCCCCCGTTGCCTTAGTGTGGTCTGTGCTGGCCAGTGAAAGATTAAAATTTATTTCCATTGTTTAATGGAAAATAATGAAGTGCATCTGACTGGGGTTTAACTATGTCATGCGGGAAATGTTCACTTTGGAACAGAGTCTCACTCCACCCAAATGTGCAATGATGAAATCAGTTGGCACACACCAAAGCAACACATTTTGTGACAGGAATGCATGAGAAGTATTAATGTACAGTATGACAAGAGCCTTTTGGAATGAATTAACCTTGTCGTAAAAAAAAGAGAGAGAGAGGGTGAGAGAGAGCGAGCGGATTCTTTAAACCAGCAAAATCCTGCAGGAGGGGCAAGGTTTCCCTGCTGTGTGCTGAATACAGTTCATCAACAATTAAAGCCTGAAATTCTCTTACTTAAAGCATGACAATTGCGTCTTTGAAAATTCATACACACGCTCAGGAGTCAGTTCCTTAACAGCAAGCTGCGAAAGAGGGCAGCTCTGTCGAAGCCAATGTAGTCCTGCTAAGGCTATGGACTTCAAAGTTCTAATGAGATGCACGTTCGTCGGACTTGTTAAAATGAAGGGTTTCTTTTTTCAATAAATGTGGTTTAAAGACTCAAGTATCTCTGCGTTTAATAGATTTATAGCGGAGGACATTTTGTTTTAAAGAGAGATCTCCATGAGATTCAGTAACTAATACAATTATTTCCTCTAGGAATTTACTTGTGTCCTATTAGAACCCAGCGAGACTGGGCACAAAAGGGCAAGATTTTCAAAATCTGTGATTTTGAGAGCCACGATTTTTGCATGCCCAACCTGAGACACCTTAAAGGGGCCTGATTTGTATTGAAAGTGTCCACTTACGGAAAATGAGGCCTTACTACCCCTGGTTGCTAATGGAAGTTTCTGCTTAGCTCAGAGGATAGAGAGCAATGTTTTAGGAGCAGATGGTTGTAAGTTTGATTTCCTACGATGCACGTGTGTGCAGTATAGCAGATGGCAGTGCTTCTATACGTACATAGCAGAGGGCATGTTATTTGGATGCTCCGCAGTCTGCCCTCATTCTCTGTACCTACAGACCTCTATGCTACAATGCATGACAGAAAACGAAACCTGAGATTGTCTCTAATCACTGGTTCATTATGTCATGTACATTGCGGATAGCATATGGCCCTTCGGATGCCATGTTAAACAGACTGAAGGCACAGGATAGAAGCGGAAAATACTCCTCTGCCCCAGTGGGAAATAAACAATTATATTTTAAAACTAGAACAAGGATTTTCATGCAGTATAATAATAAATACATCAAAAAGCTGAATACTGAAACAAATAACTTTCCTGCTTTTTTCCCTAGGTTGTGTTATCAACAACAGTGAATGTTGATGGGCATGTCTTGGCAGTGTCTGACAACATGTTTGTTCATAACAACTCTAAACATGGACGGAGAGCAAGGAGACTTGACCCCTCAGAAGGTTTGGAACTTTGTCTAGAATACGGTACACAATGAACACAAACAGCCACACTTTGCATTTGGATTTTTTGGTGGGCGTGGAGAACCCCAGGGCCTTTTTAGAAGGAAGATGAACAAAAAAAATAAAAATAAAAATGCAGAATAGGGTCCTTCTACCTCTAAGAGATTGACTCTCCAAGACGATCAGTTAGTTTGTTAACGCTTCTGCAGAGTTTTTTCTCTTCACAGTGCTGCATAATTAGCCAAGAATTTCAGACTTATTGCTCAGCTGGCCTAGACTTGATTTCAGGCAAATTAAGCAACATGACATCTTACTTAAACAGACACATTGCAGTGCAAGATGTGTATGAAAAAGTGTCAGTGGTTCCCTAAAACAAACTGTGTGCAAAGCATAACAACGCGCAGAAGGAAACTGACACTAATTGATTTTAGTTTGTTTGGCTAAGCAGGAACTGCCGTCATCTATGGACTGGTTCTTGGGGTATATTAAAGCAATTACCAATACCTGTATCTGTTAAGCTTCAACGTGGGTAAACCCCGCCTTGCTCTCCGTCTGCCCCTTTCACAAACTGCACTTCTGCAGTACAAGCACCACTTAAAACAATTTTAAAATCCTATCTCTGTCTCTCCCTGCTTCTCCAATCTCCCTGCAGCCTGTGAAAGAGAGAAGAGGTTGTGATGTTAGTAGAAGAGACAAGCAAGGCTATTATTTCATTACACTGTTTTGTTACCCCCTTTTAAAATGTGCCCTGTATCAACCTAAAGAAGAATTAATGAACTGGAAGAAAATGATTGAATCAGTAAAGAATTCAGAGTGGTGTTAATTCCCCCCCAGCGGGCAGTGAAATGGTAGAAGGAAAATCCCAGGATTCCAAGCCTAGGAAGCCATCCAGTTTTTCCTTGACTGATTGGATGTGATTGACTGGCTGTTCAAAGGAGTCTCATGTTTTTGGAGCCCTGCCAAAGTTCCCCTCCACCTCTGACCCTGTCAACATTGGGAATGGAGTGATGGATTGACTTTGGTTATGGCCTGGAAACCATATTGGGTTCCTGATGGGATGTATAGTCCAGAGGCCTTGAACATATGGAAAAGAGCAGAAAAAAAATCTATTCCATAAAGTCACAACATTATTAGATATTGTCTCTTGATAGGAACTGGAGGAAATGCAAGATATTTCCATCTCTCTTTATCCCATTGATAAACAGAGTAAATCGTAACACATCCCACCTACAACCTGCTTTTTTCACTCTTCTGTAATCATATGCTAATGAGTGTTTTTAAAACAGCCTTTGCACAATCACTTAAGTGTTTCACTTTTACACCCACTACAGTTGGCCTATTAGGCTTTAATGACACAATGTTAAGTGCAATAAACAGGGGAGCAATTAACACTACCAAGGCCGAGAACAAAATTATTTTATTTTATGCGGAGTTCCTTGGAATGGCAAAGGGCCTGCATGGGTGAACGAATTGAGGGTTGTGTCCTAGCTGTGGCAACACTGGTGAGACAAGCCAGCAATCCAGCTGCAGCAATGCAAGCCCTGTAAATTGGACAGGCAAAGCTGCAATAAGACACAATTTGCACCAGTGCAGTTTCTTTGGGCAAATAACAAGTGTTGCCTATCCACGCCAGTCCTGACCTAGGCTCCAAAACCAATTGTAAGAAAACTAACCTGTTATCTTTTTGTTTGCTTGCTTGTTTAGCCACACCATGCATCAAAGCTATTAGCCCAAGTGAAGGCTGGACTACAGGGGGAGCGATGGTGATCATTATAGGAGACAATTTCTTCGATGGGCTACAAGTTGTATTTGGGACCATGCTTGTATGGAGTGAGGTAGGCAAAAATGACTTACTATTGCATAGCCAAAGACAGATATTGCTGGTACTGGTTGGACCTCCCTGCTTTGGCACCCTCGGGACCTGACCTGTCCCGAACGAGGGAGTTTGCTGGACCAGGGGAGGTCAATTTCAGCCCTTCGACTCCTGGTATCTTGGCTCTCCACGGTGGGCCACCAGCCTTCCAGCTAACCTCCCTTCATGGTCACCAGGCCCTGGTGCTCACTGGCCCAGACTGCTGGGCTCCACTGACAGTCCTGGCTGCCAGGTTCCCAGCCACTGGATGCCCATCTGGCTCCCGCTCCCATCCGGCTGGGGCTCTCTGGTCCAGGGATTCTCTGTTCCGGCAACATCCCTGGTCCATCAGAATGGCAAGCAGCCAGACCACAGATGTTGCTGAACCACAGAGCCCCAGACCACAGGGGTTCAACCTGCATAGAGAAGGTAAATTGGGAACTACTATGTACCCCTTATCATAATAATACAAGAACTAGGGGACAGTCCATGGCATTGAAAGACAGTTACTTTAAAACTGATTAAAGGAAAGGCTTTTTCACCCAACACTCGGCTAGCCTGTGGAACTCTTTGCCATGTTATCTCATAATGTACATGCACTTTTAGTCAGATTCCAAAAAGGTCTCGATGCTTACGTGGAAGAATATCCAGAATTAAAGGGAGGACTAAAAGAAAATGCAGGAGTTTGGGAAAGGAAACAAACCTTCATGTTTCAGGGCATAAATCAACAATTCATTAACGGGGGCTGGGAAGACACTTCCCTTGGAATCAATTTATCCTGTAAGTGGCCTTCT